CACCTTTATTCCTACATGTCAAATATACATGTCAAGTAATCAAATGTCATATCACTCTCTAGCATGAGGAAGGTACATCTCTATGCCTACATGTCAAATATATATGTCAAGTAATCAGTCTCACAAGGAAATCATTAACTTCATACAATCTTACCACACTCCAGGTGCCTGGCTTAAATGTCCCACTTGATCAGACACAATAAATATATGCCAAATCAATAGTATAACCATGGATCTATCAAATAATCACACTTAGCACTGTACGGGTGCCTGGAACTGCCCATCATCGAGCACTTATATATAACACTGTGCCTGTGCCCACTATTGGCATGTCAGACTCCGGAGCGGGATCCTACCCAAGCGCTAATCATAATCACATAGCCCAAATTGTGGGACCTGGTGAACGCATAGCCTCAAATCAGTACATGATAGCCCAATGTGGGGCTTGGAATACGCGTCACCTCAATATCTATATAACCGTTGCAGCGTGCAACCCGATCCATATATCCATATCAATACGGCTCTATGGCGCACATCAGTCTTCAATCCGCTCAAGTCTCAATATACAGACATCATTACAGAAACATAATCCAATAATATAACACGAAATATCACAATATGCCTCAATACAGTTCAAACGCGTGTCACGTACATGGACACCAATAACATGTGCGACAACATATAAAAAATTCACAGAGACAAAGATATAACATGCAGACGTGACCATCATGACTGTACAGTATGACTACGGCTAAGGCAAATAGCTCAACATGGCAAAAATAGCACTATCATTCCAAACAATTGAGCAGGTAGTCTAGGCATGATTTCTAGCATGAATAATATTCCACGTAGTCATATACATGGAGAAAATATGATATCAAAGAAGCATGATAGCGAAACAAGGCATATAATAACCTAAGAACTACCTGGATCATGAATACCTCGGTGCACGCACCCGAGCCTGTCACCTAGCACGCGCGTCACCCCCAGCCCATCTCAAATATTATAGTTCCCAGGGATATTTACCCTCAAATCCAAGTTTAGATATGTTACTTACCTCGAACAAGCCAAATTAAATACCGAGCAAGCCAAACAATACTCTTGAAACTGCATCCCACACGAATCAACCTCCGAACGGCTCGAAATTACCCAAAAGCAACTCAAAAGATCAAATAATGCCTTAGAAAACAAACCCAAGCGATAAAGGTCAAATCTATTATCAAAACTCAAAGTCAACCAAAAGGTCAACCACGGCCGCACCTCGGAACCCGACAAAGCTTATAAATTCCTACAACTCATTTGAATACGAGTCCAACCATACTAATTTCATCCGATGCTGACTCCGAATCGATGTTCAAAACTCAATTATTCTCTTTAAAAAAGTTTTTGATAAAACCCCCCAATTCTCCTATCAAAACATGGATTAATTCACAAATGAACTATTGTAATCTTGTTAAAATACAAACATTGAGGTTAGATACGAACCACCATGAAAAGACGAGGAGAATGCCATGAAAATCACCTCCATCGAAGCTCTAAAAATCAAGATATGCTCAATTATACCAAACGAACGCAGTATGGTATTTTATACACAGGGATTTCCATTTTTGCGCCCAAAAATCCGCACCTGCGGTTCTCCAGCTGTCATTTCCGCCTTTGTGGATCATTTTCACACCTGCGGGTTCGCAGATGCGGACCCAACTTTGCATCTGCGAAGCACCAGCACCAGCTTTCTTCTCCGACACTAAAATGAGCATAACTCCCTCATATGATGTCCAAATTCGACGATTCTTTTTGCTATGACTCCGTAATTACGATACGGATCTAGTGATTCATACTTTGGAGCTCATTTTTTTATGTGATATCAATTATGCATGAAGAAACAACGTCGAAACATAAAAATTCAAGTGCAACACAACCCAAATCTATCCGAAACTTACTTGAGCCCCTCGGGACCCCGTCCGAACATACAAATAAGTCCCAAAATATAATACAGACCTGATCGAGGCCTTAAATCCCACATAATAATATCAAAACCACGAATTGTCGACCAAGATCAATCTCTTAAGTTCATAAACTTCAAACTTCGAACCAAGCGTCCGATTCAAGCTTAACCAATTATGAATGAACTCAAATTTTGCATACAAGTTCCAAATGACATATCAAACCTATTCCAACACTCGGAATAATAATCCGAACCAGATAACATCAAAGTCAGATCTCGGTCAAACCTATGAACTTTCCAAACATTCAAATTGCCAACTTTCGCCAAATAGTGCCGAAACCTTCTTGAAACATCAAAATGCAAATTCGGGCATATGTCCAAGTCCAAAATCACCATCCAGACCTAATGGAACCATCAAAACTCCGATTCGGGGTCAAATATACAAATGTCAAACTTGACCAACTCTTCCAACTTATATTTCCTATTTAAGAATCTTCTTCCAAATCAATTCCAAACAATTCGAAGACCAAAACCGACAATACACGCAAGTTATAATACACCATATGAAACTACTCATAACCTTAAACCACCATATTGAATACAAATGCTCAAAATAACCGAACGGATCGATACACATAACAAAGTGGTGACGAGAGAGGAAAGCCCCCACAACACACGAGGATGAAGCCAAAATTCGGGGATTACGATGACATGCATATTGAAAGAGATAGTAAGTTGTTATGGAATGTTGAGGATCAAACAAAATCAAGTGGTTACTATGAACCTTGAAGAGCTGTCAAGCCATGTGCTTAGTCTCCATTGGCTTGAAACTTGGCTGTCCGCCAACACTGTTCTCCACAAACCACATATAATATATTATTTGCATCCAAATTTTATTTCCACCTATTATCACATGGCACATGACTTTGTGTTTGGAAAACTAAGAGATATTATCTACGACCTCCACTTTGTTTTTTAGTTTCCCGAAAAGATTTCGTTTTGATTAACTTTTTGAATATTATGATTTTAAATATGTTATGTCATTCTTTTAAGGGAGTGGCATGAAGGATAACTATGAATATTAGGAATCATTCCAACGCAAATCACCTTATATGAATATTAAATAATATTCATGTGATATCACTTAAAAATAGTTCTCCTTTCCCGATTTGTCATCAACTCGATCGTGTGTAAAAGATGTGGCCTTAAAGTTGTGGAGTGGTTTTGGTGATGAAGGTCGATGATGTTTTCCTGAAGAAACTATCAAGGAGGAGTTGGGGTAGAAAATGTGATTTGTGGTGGATAGAGAATTGGATTTCAGATACGATGAGATTAACGAAGAAGATAGGGGCGTGAGGTTGTATGGTATTTTCTTAGTGGAGAAACTCAGGGTGGAGAGTGGTAGATTTTGGCGGTGATAGTGTTTGCATGGTGGCTAACAGCTGATTAATTGATGGTGAAGAAGAGATGTAATGCTGGAATAAATGGTTAAGTTGAAGAAAGAATGTGCCGTGAAAATGAGTTGATTCTTTGGGTGTGTCTGGCATGATGCCGGAAAATATTTTTCAATTTTCTCATGTTTGGTTGGCTTAATAATTTCTCATGAACTTATTTTTTTCTAATTGAAAGAAAATATTTTTCAAAATTGCTTTATAGCCTTCTCCCGCCTATTCCCCATCTGCACTAACCCACCTCCACCCACCCCATTCATCCCACCCCCAAACCACCCCTACCCCACCCACCCCTACCCCACCCACCCCCACCCACCCAACTCCTGCCCCCACCATACCCCACCCACTCCAGTCCCGCGCGCCCATAACCGACTCTAAATAGAAACATTATTAAAAATACTTTCTTTTCATGTTGTAAATGAAGTACTTTTTTTTCTTATTTTAACAAAATGAGAATATTATTTTTATGATGTAGAAAAAGCATTTTTTTTCATTTCAACAAAACGAGTATTTTTTTTCATGATATGGGAAAAATATTTTCTTTCATTTCAACAAAACGAGTACTTTCTTTTCATGATATGAAAAAAGTATTTTCTTTCATTTCAACAAAACGAATACTTTGTTTTTATGATGTAAAAAAAGTATTTTCTTTCATTTCAACAAACTGATTATTCTCTTTTCATGATATAGAGCAAGTATTTTCTTTCATTCAATAAAATGAGTAAAAAGTATACTTTTTTTTTCAAATAAAAAGTATATTTTTTAGTTATCGAGCTCACATTTCAACGTTGTTCTTGTGTGAAAAAGTAAAGTAGCACATTAATTCCTTTGGATTTGTGTAATTTTCGAAAAGAATAATTAAATTGTTTAAGAAAATAGAATCCCGAAGGGTGAGGGGGTGGGGTGGGGAGGTGGGGGGGGGGAGTACAGGAAACATGAGGATTATAGAGAAGGTGGGTTATGGAGAGTAGCATAAAAATTTATTTTTCTAAGAGTATTTTTTACTCTCTAACCAAACACTAGAAAAAATTTTTCGGGAAAAAGTTTTTCACTCACCAACCAAACAAGAAAAATAATTAATAATATCACTCATTTTTCATGAAAACTTTTACTAGAAAATATTTTCCTTCGTACCAAACACACCATTTGTGTAATCCATTTTGCTAGTGGGTAAAGTTAGACCTTTCGCAAATAAATTTTGACCTTTCTCTATATAATATTAGTCTGTCACTGTTTAAGAAAAATTTCGAGCCGAAATTGTGACGAGGGGAGGACATGGATGAACTTGGCTTTTAACCAAGGGAAAAGTAAAACCATTTCAGATATATAGTTTAGGGACAAATTGGCCGTTTGCCGTTAAACTAAACAAGTTGCTCTTCAAGTAGGCCAGACATATATATGAGCCGACCTAAGTGTCAAATCAAAGCCATCACATGCATGCTCATGCATGCACCATAAATTAAATTAGCACATAATATGCCAGCAGCGCAATGGTTACTTGCGTCTATATATCCCATAGCTGGTTCTTTGGGTTTGCACAAAATCATGGCTTCTGAAAGAATGCAAAGGGTAGGAAGGGTATTCAGGAAAACAAATAGAGCTAACAAACGGAGGAGTTGGAGGAGAGGAAATGGAAGTGGTGATAATCTTCAATATCACCAAGACAAGGTGTTAAAGCTGAAGAGACTTATCCCAGGTGCCTGCCAACTGCATTCTCATCAATTACTTCTTTTTCAGACTGCCAAATACATCATTCATCTAAGGCTGAAAATCAACGTCATGCAAGCCCTTCTCTCCTCCTCCTCGCCAACATATGGAGGCGAATCCAATATTTAAAAATGCGCGATCTAATTATGTATTTCTTTTTAAAATGTTTTTATTTATTTATTTGACACATAGTTCGAGTTAAAAGCAAACACCTCTTAGATCTGCCTTTGCCAACCTATACCTCGCACATTTTTTCGTCCCTACAAGCCTGCACCTGGATATCTCTCTAGCTCTCTCTCTCCCTTTTCCTTTCATGATCTCCTACTTTTTCTTTTATTTTTGTAGGGCGTTAAGGGATGGGGGAGATAAAGGGATTGTGGATGAGCAACTGAATGTAATTTCAAGACTGGACCGAACCAAAGCAGACTAAACTCTAGTTTGTATTTAATTACTGGTATTTGGAGATTATATCTACTCTTTCGTTGTAAGTATTGTTTACTTGCAAAACGATATAGTTAAATTTGTTACGTGATTTATAGACAAGCAAACTGATTGGATCCAAAAATAATAAAGAAATAAAATTTAAAATAAGATTTAGTAATTGAAATTGAAGAAGATGACAAGCCTGGATTCGAGCGCAATGCCTCCGAGGACAAAAACAAAAGCCATGATAAAAAAACAAGTAAAGTTGTTTAATTGAGAGCAAAAGTAAAATAAAGCATATGTTTGCAAAGAATTTCGTGTCCCTTACAATGACTGTTGAGCCTACTATTTATAGCTTTACCTAGGATAACAAGATCCTATGATCAAGCTCATCTTAAATGATAATAAAAGAGCCACTGATGAGCATGTAACAACATACCATGAATACAAATATTCTCAGCAACGGTCGCTCATTTAATGTTAGAAAATATTCCCTTATTGAATGCTATCCGATGCAAATACTTGATCTTCTCCCGTCGACCATGCTCCCTTCGGGATTAACTCGATGTCGGTTGAATTTGTTGTATCGGTATTGGTCGTTACTTGACATGAATTTTACCTATCTTTGGTTCCACGTGTCATGCTACCATTCGACCATTTATTATAAATCAATTTTATCCCATACAGATAGTCCCCATGCTTTTCAGTGATATATCTTTGTGCTACTAGAAAGTTGGTGAAGATTCCTTTCTTGGCGGAAAAGTTCCTGAACAGTCTCTGATGCTTAAAAAGACGTAGGTCTTCTTGTATTTAATACCTCGAACACGTGTTGCCCCATGATTCAGCAAATATTTTTGCCGGTTTTTGAGGTTATCATGACCATGATTTTTGCCGTGTATAACTTTTCTTCTACTCATTATTTTCACTTTTTACTTCCATGCTTTTCATAAGCCTTTCTTCCTCTTTGCATCTTGCTTAGAAAATTTTTCATCTTCTTCAACTCTCTTAGCAAAATTTTTACTGAACCTTTATTACCATGGCTTTTTTTACCGCATTTTTTGAAAACTCTAGTCTTTTCTTCGGTGGAGGCCCAAGGAAAAAAGGACAAAGAAGTTGATGGTAATTTTGAACCTCTCATTGTAAGAACCATCATTTCAAAACATCTTAGTATTGCTAACGACTTTCAAGAGAAGGCAACCTCTACATCTTCGCGGACTTGGCCTATTAGTAGGTATCCCTCCTCCATTCGCCCTTTTAGTATCCCAACTGTGAAGGAGGGCAGCAAGTGCTCCGGTCCCCTAGCCGCAGGTGCGGTTATGACAGCAATGGAAAAGCTTCAGCTGCTAAACCAAATTCCTAACTCTTCCGTTAACCATCCGAAATCATCTCGAGGTCCCCGGGACCTCAACCAAAAGCACGAACAAGTCATATACCACTATCCAAACTTATACCAATCCTTAAAACACCTAAAACAATATCGAAACATCGAATCATCATCGAATTCAAGCCTAAGAATTCCAAAAACTTCCGAATTACGCTTTCGATCAAAAAGTCTATCAAACCTCGTCCAAATTGCCTGAAATTTTGCACACACGTCACATTTAACACTACGGAACTATTCCAACTTCCGGAATTCCATTCCGACTCTTAGATCAAAATCCCACTATCGAACCGGAAGCTTCAAAAATTCAACTTTCGGCAATTCAAGCCTAAATAAGCTACGAACCTCCAAAACACAATCCGAACACGCTCCTAAGCCCGAAATTACCCAACGGAGCTAACGGAACCAACATAATTCCATTCCGAGGCCGTCTTCACACTGTTCCAACTATGGTCCAAATTTTAAAACTTAAACTCTCATTTAGGGACTAAGTGTCCCAAAACTGTCCGAAACTCCAAATAAATCCCCCCGGCAACTCACAATAGTAGAAACAAACACGAGGAATGTAGTTAATAGGGGATCGGGGAGTTAATTCTTAAAACGGCCGTCCGGGTCGTTACATCCTCCCACACTTAAACATTCGTTTGTCCTCGAACGAGCATAGAGACATACGTGAAGTAGTGAAAAGATGAGGGGTAATGGCTGCGCATATCCTGCTCGGTCTCCCAAGTCGCCTCCTCGACCAGCTGACCCCGCCACTGAACCTTCATTGATGCAATGTTCTTTGATCTCAGCTTTCGAATCTGCCTGTCCAATATCGCCACTTGCTCCTCAACATAAGATAGATCCTTGTCCAACTGGACTGAACTGAAATCCAACACGTGCGACGGATCACCGTGATACCTCCGGAGCATCGAAACATGAAATACCGGATGAACTCCTGCCAAGCTGGGAGGTAAGGCAAGCTCATAGGCAACCTCCCCAACACGCCTCAGTATCTCAAAAGGGCCAATAAATCTCGGACTCAACTTCCATTTCTTCCCAAATATCATAACGCCCTTTATAGGCGAAACCCGAAGCAGAACCCGCTCTCCGACCATGTAGGAAACATCACGAACCTTCTGGTCCGCGTAACTTTTCTGTCTGTACTGGGCTGTGCGAAGTCTATCCTGAATCACCTTAACCTTCTCGAAAGCATCATGTACCAAGTCTGTGCCCAATAATCTAGCCTCACCCGGCTCGAACCAATCCACCGGAGATCTACGCCGCCTACCATATAAAGCCTCATACGGTGCCATCTGAGTGCTGGACTGATAGCTGTTGTTGTAGGCAAACTCCGCCAATGGCAAGAACTGATCCCAAGACCCTCCAAACTCAATCACACACGCACGGAGCATATCCTCAAGAATATGAATAGTGCGCTCCGACTGTCCGTCCGTCTGAGGGTGAAATGCTGTGCTCAACTCCACCCGAGTACCTAACTCATGCTGTACGGCCCTCCAGAATCGTGATGTGAACTGAGTACCTCTATCTGAAATGATGGAAACTGGAATACCATGCAGACAGACAATCTCCCGGATATAAATCTCCGCCAATCGCTCTGAAGAATAGGTAGTAGTCACAGGAATGAAATGCGCGGACTTGGTCAGCCAATCCACAATCACCCAAATGGCATCGAACTTCCTCGAAGTCCGTGGGAGACCAACTACGAAGTCCATGGTGATCCGCTCCCACTTCCACTCCGGAATCTCTATCTGCTGAAGCAATCCACCCGGTCTCTGGTGCTCATACTTCACCTGCTGACAATTAAGGCACCGAGCTACAAACCCAACTATATCTTTCTTCATCCGCCTCCACCAATAGTGCTGTCTCAAATCCCGGTACATCTTCGCGGCACCCGGATGGATGGAGTACCGCGAACTGTGGGCCTCCTCAGAATAACCTCTCGAAGCCCATCAACATTGGGTACACAAACTGCACCCTGCATCCTCAATACCCCGTCATCACCAATGGTCACATCTCTGGCATCGCCATGCAAAACCTTGTCCTAGAGGACAAGCAAATGAGGGTCATCAAACTGACGCTCCCGGATACGATCAAACAAGGAAGATCGAGAGACCACGCAAGCTAGAACCCGACTGGGCTCCGAAAGATCCAACCTCACAAACTGGCTGGCTAAGGCTTGAACATCCATCGCCATGGGCCTCTCTGCTGCTGGTAAATAAGCTAAACTCCCCAAACTCTCTGCCCGACAGCTCAATGCATCGGCTACCACATTGGTCTTGCCTGGGTGGTACTAAATAGTGATATCATAGTCCTTCAGCAGCTCTAGCCACCTCCTCTGGCGCAAATTAAGGTCCTTCTTCTTGAACAGATGCTACAAACTCCGGTGATCAGTATAAATCTCACAAGGCACACCGTACAAATAATGACGCCAGATCTTCAAGGCGTGAACAATGGCAGCTAACTCGAGATCGTGGACAGGATAATTCTTCTCATGTACCTTCAACTGTCTGGACGCGTAGGCAATCACCCTACGTCCTGCATCAATACCGCTCCAAGGCCAACCCTCGAGGCATCACAATAGACAATATAAGACCCCGAACCGGTAGGCAATATCAAAACTGGGGCCGTAGTCAAAGCTGTCTTGAGCTTCTGATAGCTCTCCTCAAACTCTTCCGTCCACTGGAATAGAGCACCCTTCTGGGTTAGTCTGGTCATAGGTGCTGCAATGGATGGAAACCCCTGAACAAATCGACGGTAATAACCCGCCAAGCCAAGAAAACTACGGATCTCTGTAGCTGAGGATGGTCTGGGCCAACTCTACACTGCTTCCACCTTTTTCGGATCCACCCTTACCCCTTCACTAGATACCACGTGACCCAAGAATGTCATGGAATCCAACCAGAACTCACATTTCGAGAACTTAGCATATAATTTCTTCTCCCTCAAAGTCTGGAGCACAGTCCTCAAGTGCTGCTCATGATCTTCCCGACTCCGGGAATATACCAGAATGTCATCAATAAAGACAATAACGAATGAGTCAAGATATGGCCGAAATACACTGTGCATCAAATGCATGAAGGCTGCTGGGGCATTAGTGAGCCCAAATGACATAACAAGGAACTCGTAATGACTATACCGAGTCCTGAAGGCAGTCTTCGGGATATCTGGCTCTCGAATCTTCAACTGATGATAGCCTGAACGCAAGTCAATCTTCGAAAACACACAAGTACCCTGTAACCTATCAAACATGACATTAATACGAGGCAAAGGATAACAGTTCTTCACTGTAACCTTGTTCAACTGGCAATAATCAATACACATACGCATAGAACCATCCTTCTTCTTCACAAATAAGACAGGAGCACCCCAAGGTGATACACTAGGCCGAATGAAACCCTTATCAAGCAATTCCCATAACTGCTCCTTCAACTCCTTCAACTCAGGAGGAGCTATATGGTACGGAGGAATAGAAATGGGCTGAGTGCCCGGCAACAAATCAATGCCAAAATCAATATCCCTATCGGGCGGCATGCCTAGAAGGTCAGCTGGAAACACATCAGGGAAATCCCATACTACTGGAACTGAATCAACTGTAGGGGTATCAATACTGACATCTCTCACATAAGCTAGATACGCGTCACACCCCTTCTCAACCATACGCTGAGCCTTAAGGAATGAAATAACTCTACTGGAAGTATGATCCAAAGTACCCCTCCACTCTACT